AGGTAGGTCTGATTCATCGAAGATGGCAGTTACGAATGACTCCAGATCTGTCGTGGAAATCAATGATTTTGCGCGCTCGCGGAAGAGGGACCTCGTACATGTAAGGCGTGAATCAGAGAGTTCCCTCATCGAGGCGGCAGACCAAGGCATCGGCGACCACGTCGCCAGACAACGATGTCCATACGCCTCTCGAAGCAGCGTACCCATGCAGTCTAGGAACAATGCTTGATACAAGTCCCAATCCGTCAGCGAGACATCCGGTGAATCCGCGAGAGTACAGATCGCATGCCAGTGTCCGGCACGTGGGCTGTGTGACAGTGTGGTGGCAACCATAGCGAAACGGATGGACGCTAGAACAGGCACAGAGCAGAGCTCATCGTTCCATGGCGCTTTGCTCTCTGGAGTAGGAGGCTGCTGCTTGTATGACCACTGAATGTCGAGCTGCAGATTCACCAGCGTGCTGAAGCACCAAGGAAGTTCGCCGGTTGCTGCTTTCTTCCTTAGTGCGACCGGTACCGAGCACGCGGATGCGCCCAGTGAATATTTCTCCCGCAGGTACTGAATACAGTCCTGGAACAAGCGGTAGTGAAGGTCGGTTTCGGTGGTTATAACGTCCACGAGGGGGATACAACCATGGTCTTCGGCAACCAGCTCAACCTCCACCTCAAGGGCATCGAGGATACGAGACCAGGAAAGGCGAACCTTGCTCTCAGAAGCATCATCTACATTCTGCTGAAGACGTTTCAAATGTGGAGGGACATAGAGTGATGCACGGAGGGTTTCCCACTCACCAGTCCTTCCGTTGCTGTTGTGGGATTTTGTCGTTCCGGAGCCACGAGAGACCTGCTTGTACTTTGGCCCATTTGTTGTCCCGCCTTATAAAAGATCCAAGGCCTGAGAGTCCCAGTGGTTAAAAGCACACGAGAATGCCCTTGTAATGATGATATCGCCGATATCTACACGCGCGTCGGCGTCAAATGGCGTTGATAGGTATGTCGTACATTGTACTGCATACTTATTATTCAAGTGGACATCGCATTGCGCAGCAGGAGGAGGCGCCAAATACGGCCTCGCATGAGGTTGCTATAAATCAGTTATCAACTCCAGAAGCCCGGCTTTCAACGCATAGCTGAGATCGCTTGGTGCATCCTGCATCTAGAGATCCTATGGTAAGAAGAACATACTTCGCCTCTGACAGTCGCACGACCGGGAGCGTGCATGTACTGTATGCATGTGTTCAATGGCCTGGCATAAAAGTCTAGTCGAAGTGGCCATAGTGACGGAGATATACGCAGTGTCCTAGTCCTAGTCTGAGTTGGTACCGGTGCGCAGTGCGAATGAGCGAACTGAGATACTTACAGTTACTACAGTAAGTGCTTGAGCGCCTAGAGTAACAAGCGACCACGACGTTGGTTACGTAATCATCACAAAAGGCAGTTGTTATGGTTTGGCGGCAATATTCTATTGTCCTCCGCTTGGGCGGCATCCCGGACAATAGCAGCGGGGACAATGAGGCAGCCCGCCGTTTCGCTCGCCAAAAGCATACTATAAAGGACGGGCAGAGGCGTCTCCAGCGCTGCAACCTCCGGGATAGGTTTTGTTCTACTTTTCTCTAACGACCTCCAACTCACCGGTGCTGGGACACCCTTCTTAGAGTCCCTCTTGCTTCACGCCCACGCCGCACTGCTCCTTGTCGCTCTCTGCCTCCTGAACCAACTGCAAAGTCACTGACAGTCCGTCTTAACTTCCTGAACTACTCGTCGACGCCCAACAAATCCTGCCATCTGTCGCTATCATGTTGCCACCACGCGCATGTGAGTAGCCCTCCCGGCTGTGGTGCACCTTGAACGCACACATTGACCAATCGTCTTATAGACTTCTTCCTCGGGCTCAATGGCGTCCGTATCCTGAGCATCATTGCCCTGCTCCTCGTGTTTGCCAGCAGCATCTTCGTGCTGGTCAACGACGTAGAAGCCGTCAACCGTTCCATGAAGTCTGATGTCGACATGACAGACTGCGATTATATCGAGTACGTACCCTCAATACACCTTCTCCCTATCCTAAGGACGCGTGTGCTGACCACGCCACAGAGGGAGCACCGTCCCCAACCAGCCCGCGGGCGTCTTCTGGGCGGTCGTCAACCGGCTGCTCATCATCTTCCAAGTCATCGTCCTCATCATGTCCGAGGTTGGCTGGCCCGCCGCGTTCTTCGACCGCTACTTCCCCGTGCTCGGGCCCAACTTCGGCCTCGGCGCGCTCGGGATCTTCCAATGCCTCATCGGCGCGACGATCCTCTCACACCACGTCGACGACTTCACGCTCGTCGCCGCCTTCTTCCTCTTCGCGATCGGGTGCCTCAACATGCTCATCGGCCTCATCTTCCGCGAGAAGGCGAAAGAGAAGCGCTCCATCATGTCGTGGCGCGCCGAGGCGAAGGGCGTCCTCCCGACGCACAAGGACATGCGCCCGCCGTTCGCGCGCCCCGCGTCGTCCTTTGTCAACAGCATCTTCAAGGGCGGCGACAAGTCGCAACCCGACGAGTTCGGACAGAAGGGATATGGTTTCGGCCGTCAGGGAGAGAAGGCGGCAGGGCTCAAGGGTACGTTGCGCTGACTTTCTCCGCGTGAGGATCACCCGCTGAGGCTTATTCTTGCAGGTTTCTTGATCTCGAAGCCACTCGAGAGCCTGCCGCGTTACGCGCCGCCGCCACCCCGTACCGACAGTTCCCGCTCAAGCTCTCGCGCTGGCACGCCTGAGCCGACGTTCAAGTCCAGTCCTACCGCGCTCTAAGCCAGCATGGACACACGCAGCAGATACGACCGACTTACGAATATCGGACACGCTCCGTCTGAGACACTTTCTGGCTCTGTTGCTCGCCACACCGCTGTATCGTTATAGTACTCCTCTGTAGACTGGACTGTATCTTATTGTAGACTAGCACTGGTTAATTTGCATGCACATCGTTGCGAACAGTTATTGTTTGGGGGTATGTGGTGGCGATCAGTCCGAAAGATCCATGTCTTCGTCGTCGATCATTGTGGACGCTGTCGAGGGAAGCTGTTGACTCTGGGTGGATGATACGGCGCCAGCAGAAAGCGACGGCAGGGCAGGGGGAGGAGACGGTGGAAGAGGGGGAGGCGATAATGGCGGCAGCGGCGGAGGTGATCTAGCAGGTTCAGGTGCTAGCATATCAGCAGCGAGATTCCCGAGGATTCGCCAAGGTGGGATACTCGAAACACTCTCGCTGCCCGATGGACCTTGCCGGTCTGGGTGTATTGAGCTAATCAGAAGATTCTGCCAGAGCGCTTGGCGATCAGCGTCGAACGTTGCACTGACAGTATTTGAGGGGGGCGAGGTCTCCTCTGAGCGCATAGGAGGAAAGCTCGAGCCCTTGTAGACGGGCAGCTTGGACCAGAGGAAGTATGTATCCGGGTACTTTGCCCAGCGACGAGGAGTCGACGATGATCCACGGTCTGCCTGTCTTGCGCGAGGGGGCGACGCAGTATGCGTCAGAAGCACACGCTCTTCTTCCTCATCGCCGATGATTGTGAACTCGCACTCCTCGTCGGTGTCTTCACTCGCAGCGCCCGCTAGGAGCTCCCAGACACGCTCTCGGGGGTCCCTCGGACCCACCCATCCAGGCGGGTAGCCCCAGAATGCCATGTTCCGCAACCACTCGACGCGTTCTCCAGGGTCGCCGTCTTCTAGCCCTAGCGCTTCCCGCAATACGGAGCCCTTGATCTGTCCAGGCTCAAACTCGTCCAGCCACCGCAGCCTCTGCTGTCGCCATTCCTCAACTTCGTGGATTCGTTGAAAGGGACCGCCGGCTTCTCCGCGGTAGAAGTTGAAGAGTTGTCGAGAGAGCGAGACGAGGGCGCGGTCGAACGGTTCCGGGCAAGCAGTGAGGACATGGTCGGGAGAGCCGCAGTTGAAGCACCTTCGCACGTCCCTCAATTCCTCCTCACACGGCTCCTCGTCTCCAAGCACCTCCTCCCGATGACGGACGTACAGAGGCACGTATACGGGCTCTTCTCCTTCTACGAGTCCGCCTTGGTCCACGGCGAACGTTCCCAAGTATCCAGCGCCTGGTTCACCGTCTGCGCATCCCATCGGCCCTTCGCGACTTCCTTGCCCTCGACGTGCAGCGCCGGGATCCAGTAGACATACATGCGCTTCCAGCGTTCCTGGCCCGGGTCCTGGATGTTGACCGTCTCGAGTTCGAACGGGCGCTGCTGCCTGACCTTGGCAAGCTCCGCCTTCGCTATCTGCGTTCGCGACGTACCGTGAGAATGACGCGTATGATGGATCCCGATGGGAACTTACATCGCACAGGGAGCAATTTGGACCAGAGAAGAGGGTGAGGCGAGCGATGCGTCCAATACCACTGCGGGCTGCCATGCAAGTGATCGAATGTAACAGGTTGAGGCTTGGCATGCATTGCGTAAGTGCTATACCGAGTTTATGAATGCAAAACAAACCTACAAAGAAATGCGATCGTTGCGTGGACGAGGTGGTGGTGGCTGACGGAAAGAAGCCGGTGAGCGACCATGTTCAGCAAGAGCAGTGGAAAGCTGGTTATGATGGTAGCAATGCACTGTGACGAGCTTAACAAGGCGCTATAGCCAAGTGGTTACGGCGACAGATTAGAAATCTGTTCTCCTTTGGAGGCGCAGGTTCGAATCCTGCTGGCGTCGAGTTAGTTTTTGCCAAGTTCTGCCATGTTTTGGCTTTTTGGACTCGGACTTGGGCTTTTCTATGCTGTTCTGTCGTGTCTCTACGGCGGACCGAGATAGACATGACTTGCGTAGGGTGGACATGAGTGCCACATATCAGAGGCACTGTGCTCAAGGATGTGCCAAATGTGAGAGGTTCTCGCCACCCGTACTTATGGTCACCCCACCACTTCCTCCTCATCCGCTCTTTGCATCTCCCTCGAGCCTTCAAAATGCGCAGATGTGTTGGAAGATGCAAAACATGTAAATACCAGACGGGATGCAAAAGGGCCTGGCCGGGAATTGAACCCGGGACCTCCTCCACTATTGCTCGTAAAGCCCTAAGAAGGAATCATACTACTAGACCACCAGGCCGTTGAACGAATACCTTCCGTAGTGCCTCCGACGGACTGGTCAAAGGCGAAGATGAGTTCTGATTGCAAGGGGCCTGAAACTTGTCTCCCCTAGGCAGACCTTACTACGTTTACTATGCTTGCACCAGTAATGAAAACTCGCAGATTCTGCAACAGTAATGAAAACTGCCAAGTTCCTCTGTCAATTTTGAAGCTTACACCTCGATTCTTTTTGTGTTGGGTTCCTAGAGATCTCTAGATTACAGCGGTGAAATCCGCTTTTCAATATGTGAAATGGTCGTTGAGATATTTGATTGCGAAGTAGCATGGTCCTGCTTGGTGAGTATGCGCGAGGCCTTGATGACCTTCGGCTTGTTCAACCGCTCAGCCAAACTCCATGTAACTTGGTAGACATCTGGGTCCACATCATGCAATGCATCTCCCATTTTCCAGTGAAGATCGACTGCAGACTTGAGGAAGTACAAGCCCAACAGCTTCAGAGCGTGACATTCAGCCACTGAGAGCAGTCGGCGATTGAAATCAATGTTCCCTGGCCAGATCTCGATCTGCGCACGTGAAGACGTCACTCGCGCTGCCCGCCACCGTCGCTCACTGTCGCTCATTGTCGCTCACCGTTGTCGCTCTTGCGCCAACCCTTGCTCCCTCAACCTTTCTCGTGCTCTCGCTTCTCAACATTGTCTGCTGTACCTGCTTAGGCTGCTTATGGGAAGATTGAGCAAGAAGCAGAAGGAAGCTATTCAACATGACCAGCGCCTCGCCCTCGCCTTACAGTATCTACGCGACATTCCGGAGAGCGAGCGCAGGGGCAAAATCAGGCCCGTAGCTCAGAAATTCAATGTGAGCTATCAGACCCTCCGTCGTCGCTTATTGGGCATTACGCAGCCTCGCAATCTCGCGCACGAGTCGCAGCAACTCTTGACCCACGGTCAGGAGCGTGCACTGGTTGACTGGCTTGTCCACCTTAGCACCATCGGTCGGCCGCTCAACAAGCGCACAGTGCGCAAGAAGGTACAGCGCATCTCCGGAAGAAGGCGCGCGCCCTCGCGGAAGTGGCTTGCTCGGTTCCTTGCTCGACATGAAGTCTTGAAGCTCGGAAAGCCTTCTGGGCTGGACCCGAAGCGCGCGCAAGCCTTCAATGAGGCCACCGTCGAGCGGCACTTCGACTTGCTTCGGAAGGTGATGGAGGAGCACGACATTCCTTGGGAGCATGTGTATAACATGGACGAGAAGGGCATACAGCGTGGGCGGCGCAACGGAGAGCTGGAGAAGTACATCCTGCATAGATCAGAACGCCCTGTGTACAAATTACGCAGCGCGAATCTCGAGTTGGTCACCGTCATTGAGTGCGTGCGCGCAGATGGTGAGAGCCTCAAACCTACGTTCATATTCCCTGGGAAGGAGTTTCATAAGGAGTGGTTTGAGGTTGACCCGGATATACTGTAAGAGAAAGTCTTCGATGTTCCAATCTCGGGCTCACTTCTGCTTCTTACAGCATCTGCATGTCTCCCAACGGCTGGACCGACGATGCGCTGTGCGCGGAGTGGTTCGAGCACGCGTTCATCCCTCAAGCCACTGCTAAGCAGACCTCCGATGCGCCAATCTTGCTAATCTACGATGGCCATGGCTCTCACGCAACTCCTCGCCTTGTCGAGCTCGCACTTGAGAACAACATCCATCTGTTCTGCCTTCCACCGCACACGACCCACAAGCTCCAGCCTTTAGATGTCGGTGTCTTCGCTCAGCTGTCGTCGGCTTGGAAGAAGCGGTGTGACGAAGTCTGTTCAACAACCAATCATGAGATGCGGAAGCAAGACATCGTGCGCGAGTACATGAGCGTCCGGAAAGCGGCAATAACCCCAGAGCTAATAAAGTCGGGGTTTCGGGCATGCGGACTGAATCCACTTAACCCAGCCGTGTTCCTCCCTGAAGACTTCGCACCGAGTAAGGTCACCTCACATCATGCTCATCTCCCTACCTCGTATCCCTGCTCCATCCAGCACTCCGATGTCGACTCAGCTCCCGGAACCCGGAGTCCAAAGGAAGATACCACGCCTTCTGGGGACCAGCACGAGGATCTTCGCGATCTATTCGAGGATATCGCCGACCTGTCGTCAGATATCGGAGAGGGAAATATATCCTCGGATGAAGATTGGAACTCTTCGACTGATGATGAGCTCCTCGACGATGATCTTACAACCCGCTATGAAGCGACACGTCCTCCCGTTGCAGTCTTCTGTCCCGACGGCACTCTCTTATCCTATAATCCGGAAGTAACACGGCGTGTTGCATCATCCACAGCTAGCTCCCCATCCCCCGCTTCTCCTGTCCATGCCTCCTCCGACACCACCACCGTCTCTGCCCCTGCCTCCTCTTGTGCCGTCTCTGCCCCTGCCTCCTCCGACACCGTCTCTGCCCCTGCCTCCTCTTGTGCCGTCTCTGCCCCAGCCTCCTCCGACACCATCTCTGCCTCTGCCTCCTCCCGCGCCGTCTCTGCTACTGCGTCCAACTCTGGCAACTTGAGCACCGAGTCCTTCCAGGTCTCAACCTCCTTGCAAACATCCGAGTCACTACCATCCACTACACCTCCCTCCACTGCCTCTCGCGTCGTGGTGCGAAGTACACTCAAGACCCTCCCATCAAGTCAATCCGATCCCGTGGTTCAAGACGCCTTGAAGACTGCGCGTTCCGCCCACATTCCCTCCCACGTCCGTTTTGCCGCCTATGAACGGGCCGTGCGTGCGCAAATCGCGTGCATTCAAGAGCTGTCCATGCAGCTGGAAAGTTCAGAACTACACGCGACGATGGCTGCGCTCGAGGTCGAGGATCTGCAACAGAAACTCAACCACCGGAATGCTGAGAAGGCTGGGAAGTCCCGTACCCTTGTCACTGATGCACGTTGTCTGACGTCTGGCGATGGGCTTGTTGCATGGAAGGCACAGGAGGCGGAGCGTGCCAGGAGAGATGCTGCCAAGGAAGCGAAGAAGGCAGCTCGTCAACGTAAAGTTGACGAGCAAGCAGCTTTGCGGGGTGAAGCATCCTATATTTACTCAGGTGGACTCTCCAAGCAGCTGCTCCCTGACCTGCAAGCACTCACTCGCGAGCTCGGAATTGCTCTCGACGCGTCAATCAAGAGGCCCACGAAGGAAGTTCTCAAGAAGGCCATCCAAAAATACTTCGAGGATCACCCAGAGCGTCAAGAAGAAGAACGCTACCGCGGTCTCTTCAAGTCATCCCAGAAGCGCGCTGCTCCGTCTGATTGGACAGACGAAAATGAGCCTCCCGCGCAACGTCTTCGTACAGACGTTGGCACACTCGACGGACACCACCTACGCCCTTCTGGTCCACTACTTACAATGCCACCGCTGTCACTCCCTCCGAGTCTTGATCTACCGCCTCAGATTCACCCTGCGCCGCCGCCAACCCACTGGCCTCTCCCTCCTCTGCGTGACTCTCCTGTTATCAATAGCTATCCTTCATTCTCGTGTCCTACCGCTCGCGATCCCGCCGCCTCCTGTGATCCCCATACCACCGGTGCACTGACTTCCGACTTTCAACTACTATACTACAACCCTCAGTCTAATGCGACACTCTACCAGCCTTATAGAACTTTGTAGATTTGAGATAGTACATACTGTATTCTGGATTTGCATTGTAGCATAGTTGTTTATTGCTGTATATATTCTACTCACTATTTGGGATTTCGCTGCCATTGCTCGCTGTACAGTACGCCGACGCGGCTGCCAGTGCAAGCGTCGCACAGAACGTAATCTCAGATGCAAGGATGCCGAATCGGAGATTGAAAATGCCGGCCTGCCGTGCGTTACCAAACCGTGACATGGGTGCTTCCGAGTTTTCATTACTGTTGCGATTACAACAAACCTCCCGGCTTTTCCTCCATCTCACTCGACGGCCTTGAGATTCATACGGCAGGTACGGAAGACCACTCTGAATGCTTCAGTGAAGGTCCGAACGAATTTGACCGCGATACGAGGGAGATAATCGAACTTCAAGCTGAAGTTTTCATTACTGGTGAAAGCATAGTAAGGTCTGCTCGCATTTGCGACCCCTTTGCAGGAGGGTCCCAATTCTGCGGAGTTTGGACATGCCGACTGATCCGAGCCATCGCCGTATATAGCCAAAGTTGACGCATTTGGAACATGAGGTAAGCGCCTGTTCACATAAGGCAACTACTGACGAATCCGGAATACAATGACATAATGCGATTCACGTCAGTCATTCCTGTTACCTTGAAGCCCTAGTGCTACGAGTGTGTGTTTGCGCTTCTACATGCTCCGCTACATCGTGTTCAACAGATGTACTATTGCTATAAATGCAGATGCGGTCAGTAGCCAGGATTTCACTATCCATAAGGTGACTTTGCCAGCACCTCTGTGCTGAGAACCATGCGGACAACCATAGCGGAGTTTTTCAGGGTTCGGGCGAGGTCATGTAGTACGGCCGTTGAGTGTCACAAAGCCACGGCCCCCCCCCCCCCCCCCCCCCCCCCCCCCCCCCCCCCCCCCCCCCCCCCCCCCCGGAGTGATTTATGTGAGCTCTAATCCATAACATACTCACTAACATGTGCAAAATGACCACCGTCGATATAGCGAGTCAGCGTAGGACGCGTTAACGCGTCACGCGTATAGATCTTGACGCGCTGTCGGAGATCAAAGTTGTGCTTACAAATCACAATTCCGGACCCTCCTGCTAAACCCCCTCAATTGCATGCAGACTAGCCTGAAACATGACTGAGGACAATATGATACATGAAGTGAGCAGGTAGCGATACAGAGCGCGAGAGCGATAGAGGTACGAGGTTCGGGCGAGCGAGTGCAAGAAGACGAAGATCAACAAGAGCGACCAGGTAATGGCATATGAGCGAGTCACAGTTTCTCGAGCAAGCCGCGAAGCATCTTCTGGTTCGAGGCCGCGCTGGTGTCCTTCTCCATAGCCTTGCTTTTCTTCTCCAACAAAGCGATGGTTTGTTCCATGTCCGTGGGC